TTTTCTCGCCATTTTCGTCACGAATTAATCCTCTTGTCGTGGTTAAATTGTTGCTTCATTCTGGAATAGAGAATTTCATGTGAGCTGATGAATTTAAAATTTCATGAGACAACTACCCCCACCCACCCCTTTTCGGTCTACGAACTTCATCCGTGCTTAGAATCCATACTCTCATTAATATGTCATAGATTCAAATTGAACTATCTAATAATTATTATAATAATCTAATACGATTTAGAATATAGTATTTGATAGCATTGTTTTGCTTGTGCTTGTTAATCAAGTGTCGTTGCATGATTTATAATATGGTATGTTTACCACGAAAGACTGTCTGTCTCAAACACAGAGTGGTTAGGTGGAGAATTGCTGGAAATCAGTTTGATTGGGTGTCGTCCCCTGCAATATAGAATGCATTGTATGGAAACTCATCCATGAAATGCTTCCAACAATGAGCGAGCAGCAAAGAGGGGTTATGGGACCGAAGATCCAATGAATGTAATTTTTTTGCTCTAACAGTGAGGAAACAGTCGATCACTTATTTTATTTTTTTCTTGTATTTTGTTTGGAAACTATGGTGCAGGTGGACCAAGCTATGAAATATCCAGTGTGCTTTTTAGCTTTCTAGAATCGTGGATTGGCTGTAGCCCGCTTCCAATATGGAACCTTATTGGATTATGGCGTTCTGCGCAATAACATGGTCTGTGTGGAAGAGCCGAAATGAAGTCATCTTCAAAGATCTTGTGTCAGATTGCATCCAAGTAGGCAGCAAGCTTAGTCTCTATTAATAGGAATCAGAATATGGATGCTGATAGACTCGCATCTGGCATTAATCGCAGGGTGGAAATGCTAAAGTTTGGTCCGTCTGTCAAACTGTCCTAAATGCTATTTTATGTCGGGAAAGGCAAGCGGTTTTATGGTGTACTGTTATGGGAGAGATTTTTTAACGAGGTCAAGGTTTACGACCCCAACCTTCACCTCATTGAAATAAACGACGACTTATCTTTCCCAAAAAAATACATTTATAGGATAGAAAGAGATGATGCTCGTGTTTCTTATTTTTCTCATCTGAGAACGCCAAGTGGAGTGGGTTTCACCAAATTAACATCCTTAATTACAAGTCTAAACATACAAGATTAAATTTATTATTATACTAATCATATGTATTAGTGTCAACATTCAGTCGGTCGCAAAATTCGAAGTCAACAATATTAGTGACGAAAGTATAAATTTTTAAAACTGGACTGCTAACCATTTAAATATGCTAAGACTTGGGGTGACTAATGGAGCATTAAAAAGATCAATGTAAATCACATTCATTTCTTGAAGTTAAAAGAAAGGCATGGAAAGCAGAAACCGAAAGAGACGCCATACATGCATACAACGTTTCTTAATGAAAACATCATCTTACTTTCCGGTAGCTTATCAATAAGAAATTAACAATGCACTACATTTCACCTGCATCAAACCACATCTTTCCAACAAAGACATCACAACCGAGCCGACTCAAGGTCACGTGTAAAAACTAGGTATGCCATGTACGTATAGGTGCGAAGCAGCTCTATGGGATTTTGCGTCTCGTTGAATCCGAACGAATTCCAGACCATCTAATAAAATATCATTTGCATTTCATCAAGGAAGCAACAACTACAGTTTTCGTTTATAACAGTACATCGCAGAGCTTTTCTCTAGAAGCAAAAATAACTCTTCCTCCAAATAAGAATGTCAAGCAATAATAAATCACTGGCAATATTTTTCCTACACCAAATACTTACACCCAAATCTTTTGTTCAAGATGAATATTGTATCTATGAATATCCGTAGCGTTGTTCAATTTGTAAAGTCGCAAAACTTACATGGGATGAGGGTCCATTCGGTATCCTTCCAAGTCCTCATCGTACGCCGAGTAACCTGTCGCGGTTGCTCTGAAAAGCATTAAAAGGCAGTGTATCAATGCATATTTGAACCATCCGGGCTTCCCGTGTACCGGCACCTCAACAAAATGCATAACAATAACCATCGGATTTTCTATCAGCTATCAAGCAAGCAAAGCAACATAGAAACAGATTAACCAACGATACCTTAGGAAAACACGTACGAAACTCTTCCCAATCAACCATTCAGATTCACTTTGAATAGTATAAATATTTCCGATTGTCCCGGCAATGCTAACTATTATAGCCAATATTAACATCAACCATGACAAAGAAAATTCTACTCGGCTCAACCTCAGCCTCTCATCCAGCTTACTTAGCCTCAATGCAATGAGAGCGGGGAACGTAAAACCAAGTGAAACAGCTGTTGTTGCTCCTGTAAATTTGAAAGCTGTCCATATATTCGGGATCATAGTAGATCCGACATAAATAAGCATTAACAATATTATTGTTAATGCCAAAGATCTTTTCCGACTCTCTGCTAGAGGAGCTGATCCCTCGAACACCAAGCTATCCACGGTCTGTCGTAGGGAAAAGTGGATAACAGGAAAAACCAGAACCAAATGAAGAATGTAACCGACCCTGACGATATAATTCAAAGCAGTGCTAAAATGAATTCCAAGATCCCTATCAAAGTTGGTCAAGAAATCACCTTCAGTGTCCTTCCCAAATAGCAAATACCCTGATATTGCTGTTGAGGCATAGACTCCAACACAAATAGCAGTAGTGATCCTTCCAACCCGATTCATCTTCTGCGGAGATCGGCCTTCAAGCTCGTTATATATAGGTTGAATATTGAAATGACAAACATAAGCATTTGTCATAACAGGTATAACTACTATGAACTCCCAAATTGCCATTTTCGACCCGAGATCTGGGGTCATCCTTGGAGGATCAATTTTCCCTTCCATGAGCTTAAAGAATGCAACAGCAAAGCAAACCACGACAAAAACAACAGCGAGAGCAACCAAGGCAGCCGATGTCATGCTCAATGAATCGATCCGATTTAACACGCAAAGCGGAGCAAGAAAAACAACCACCACAGCCAAGATCAACTTCCTGTGATCCCAATAGCCATGTCCTAACCACTGATCGAAAACCCCAACATGACGAACCGAACCGGACATAACATCACCCATAATAATTAAATAAACTATCAAAACACCTCCATTGTTGACAATGATGCAAATCTCAGACAAAACCCTAGCAGTTCTTCCCATTGCAATCTGCACAACTTCCCCATAAGATCTAGCTTTACAAGAAACAGCATACCTAATCAACATCTCGACACTCATTTCGGACAAAATGCCAATCAGGATTATAAAAAAAAAATCCCCAAAAAAAAACCAAGAACCTTCATAGTGGCAGGTAAAGCCATGATTCCCGCACCAATAATGGAGGTGGTCAAGTTAAAAACAGCACCAGAAATACCAGACTCAGTATCGGATTTACCTTGAACAAGGGAATAATCATCAAGATCTACATCAACAACATCATGATCATCATCGTTAAGATCATCATACTCATCAGCGACCTTGGGGTAGCTTACCCGGTTCCCATCATCAGAAAGGAGAGATTTCTGTTGGGATCTAAAGTCCAGATGCTCATTTTGCATTTGTAATTCTACATAGGAGCCTCTGGGTATAGCTGAATAATAACTATCCATTCTAAAACAAATGAATCGCTAAAAGAAAGCTTGAAACTTTGCAAACAACTCTCAGAAAAAAATCGAATGCAGAGATTGAAGAACTTACAAAGAAATGGAATTGAATTGAAATGAATGGATTTTGAAAGGGGTTCAAAGAGAAAAGCAGCAGATCCGTGGTGGGTCAACGTTTTGGGATCCTTTGTGTGGAGGAGAAACAGAGGATGAAAGAGCAATTTGTTTGGAAATAAAGTAGTTGCCATTGGAGGAGATACTTTTAGACAGAATTTTCCATTTTGCCACGTCAGGTCTTCAACTTAGATCTAAAACTCCACATTTATCACTTTGCGGTGTTCTGCCGTTATTATTATTAAATTATTGGATATATTACGTTAAATTATTAGTTTTAATTTATTTTAATATTTAAATTTTTATTTTTAAAAATTATGTATAATATTTTTGTTTTTATTTTATTTTAGTCCCATAAAAACTTAACATTGATTTGCATAGCACTTTTTTACGGGTAAATTTTATCATTTATAGCTTAACTATCTTCTTATTTTTATTTTGGTCACTAAAATTTAATTTTTTAAATTAATTACTTAGTTTTCAAATTACTCCTAATTTAGTCACTCTAACTTTTAAATTTATTTTTATTTTGAATTATATATTAATAAAATAATAAAAAATATTATGTAACAAAAATTATTAATAAACTAAATTAGAGTGATTAAAATATGAGCAATTTGAAAGTTGAGTAGTTAAATGAAAAATTTTAAACTTTAATAACAAAATAGGAGTGAGAAGATAGTTGAGGGATAACTGATGTAATTTACCTTAAAAATGCATTGTGATTAAATTTTTAATGACGAAGTACTAGAATGAAATAAAAACTAAATGTTAAGTATGATTTTGAAAAAATTGAAAGTTTAAGTATTAAACCGAATTAAAATTGATATTTTAACTACTAAATGCGTAATTTACCCTAAATTATTTAACCATTTCTAAAAAAATCTTATAATGAATGATAATTATTTTAAAATAAAAAAAGTCTTTATTCTAAAAAAGGTTGTTTTTTAAACTTTATATAATAAACTTAAATGATAAAATTAGTTAAACTAATATATGAGTTGGATTATTTTATAACTGGTCAAATTCTATCACTAGTTCTTATATTATGAATAATTTATATATTTAGCCCTTATACTATAATTTCTTCGATTTTAGTTCTTATATATTTTTAAATTAAAATTTATCTTCTCAGATTTAATATTATTGTTTCAGTCAAGATTGAAAATTAAATCTAAAAAATATAAATCTACGAGGCATGGTTCAAAGACATAAAAATTAAAACGATCAAATTAAAACCAACGCTGGTTGAAAGATTTGTGAACAATAATTAAAATTAGAAATACATAATTTAATAGTTGAATATCATTAATTCATAGATAGAATCAGCACAATATCACCCAAAGGACATTATCAAATCGGCTCCTGAAGGGTCGGGTCAATTTTTATGTTGTGTCGACACAAGTTCAGACATAAATACAAATATCGGACATACATGCGTATTCATGCCCCATACATTCAAACCCGATGGCATAATATACAAACATCTGCCATAACCCTTGTCTAAACATAGATAAGTAAAATAAAAGATGTTCACATAATATACAGACGCCGCCAATGGAATTTACTCGGGGCGGAAGTTCACTAGATGGTGGAGGTGAGATGATTGGAGCTTCTTGATGTCGTTCGCACTGACCTTGCAAGACTCCATGTTCAGAGATCTTAAATTCTTCAGTGCCTTTAAATGTCGCAATCCTGCACTTGTTATTCGAGAATTCGAAACATTCAATGAGACCAATCCTGTCAGCCCTGCATTTCATATGTAAGTGCAGTTAGTCTACAATGCCGACCTCATTCATCGCGACGTATCTTATGTTATCTGGACTCGGGAGTGAAGGTTGGTACAGGTATAAGTTTTTCCACACCACTGGAGGATCATTCCTCCATTCTCGTCTCTGGATATGAACGCTTAAAGGATAATGAAAATCCAATCTCAACATATTACCCTCCCCCGAACAGAAAGAAAAGATTGTGTAAGTCGCAGCCATACCGGAAATCATCTCCAATGCTTTATCCGTGAGGTAACAGTTCTGTGACAGATTTAGCAATGACAGGGATGAAAGATCTTTGATATTCTTCACTCCAGCATCGGTTAATCCTCCGCCGCATATTTCCAAGGAGCGCAAATTCTTTAAGTCTGTTAAGTAAGCGAACAGTTGGATTAATTCTTCAAAAGAAAACACATCAAATGTAAAGTTAGTCCGAAAGTGTTCAGGTCACTATGAGAGCACAAAAGATGATATATTGCATGCAAATAGGTGTTTAAATCTTTGTTATACATACTCCTTACCATAACAATCGAATCATTAACAAAAAAAACATGTCGAAAACAAAATGTGCCCAAGTAAAAAACATAGCCAACCTTAACACCTTACAAGCTAAACTTATCAATATATTGGTTCTTCGCCATTTTGAGAAACTAGAAAGTTGAATATTTCTTGTTTTCGAAAGGAAATTCAAAATACAAAGTGTCGTGTCATACTTCGCAGATAGTTTGTCCCTGAATCAGTGATACGAGCTCCGAAAAGATCAAGATGAGTCAGTCCAGTCAAACCTGTTTCAAAAGAAGAAAACACCAGATAAACAAAATCTTCAACGCTGAATGTACGATTAATAATATGCACATGATCCAAGGTTTCTACAAGATAACTAGATGCTTCGCTGCATTAGTAGAGCATTAAGATCAGTAGAAAATTATGTTTCTTGTTGACAGGATTTTAGACGCATTCACTAGAAACACGGACATATTATTTCACAATGAATCATGTTAAAGAACTAAAAGGCCAATTCAAAGAACTGAAATAGGCACTCCGAACAGTCATACTGGTAAGAGCTGCAAGTCCGGCATCTGTGATTTGACGAGAATCCAGGTTGAGTGATTTCAGAGATGAGAGTCCAGACAATTTTCTTAAACCACCATCTGTAACTCCAGTAAATGACAGGTTTATGCTCTCCAGATTAACCAAACCTACAAGTAAACCAAAAGAAATCGGATGATCACATATAAGAATCAATTGTTTGAGAAGATATCAGTTTTATATGCTTATTCAATGATTAAAGCTCCTCAGACTACTAAATGAACAATGCTGTTATTCGGACTCATATGAGAATGCCAGATCCAGGTATATGTCTAACATAGGTGCCTTCAATTGTTTTCAAAAAAATTCCATGTATAATCATCTGAGTTTTGAGAAGGCTTCCAAAGGAGGATAGCAAATCAGGGTAGCGATAACAGAGAATCAAATCAAGAAAATAATTATATGCAAAAAAAAGAGTTGAAGAAGCACTTTACCACCAAAACTAGAAACAGAAATTAACAGCAACTGCAAAATATAGAGAATGTCATACTATGAGAAAGGAGGATATCTAACCAGAAAGATGGCGAAGGCCATTGCTTCCAACTTCAGTATCAGACAACTCCAAACATTTCAATTGTTGAAGACCTAAACAAACGAAAGCGGTTGTTTTCAGCCACTGTCGTCTTTTTTTTTGGTAAGATAGCAGAGAAATATTATGAGCTGAGGTAATTGGATGGTTTAATGAAGATGCCAATCCTCCCACAGCAGAAGAAAAATAAGGTAGGTAAAACATTTAAATTAAATTTATTTAATTCTACTTCAAAATGAACAAATAGATACACAGAAAGATGATAGCAGTTAGACCAACCACCTGACAAATGAACCAGCCCATCATCACCAATTCTACATGAATCCAAGTTCAAGCTCTCTAAATTTGTCAAACCTGGATCCAAGCAAAAAAAAAATCAAATTATGGATAGCAACCACCACTAAAAAACATGGAACAAATTTCACAAAGAAAACCATATCACGAGATCCTATTATATGTTTTGCAAAGAATAACCACTCATTATTTAGATAAATAATTTTTATTCCATTATATCCACTTTATTATCAGTCCTCCAAAATAAGGAACACGCATATATGAAGCAAAGACATTATATAGATCAATATTCTGTCAAACAACACAAGGGAAGAGGAAGAACACCTTTCAGATGTATCAAGCTTGAATCACTGATGTCATTGAAACCCAAGTTTAATATCTTCAGATTACCTAGCTCTGTCAAAACAAAAAAATGCCATAAGCCAAACGCCATCTAAGAATTTTTACATATGCGTAATGGGAAAAGCATGAAACCAACTTACTAGAAAACCTCTCACATCCATCATCAGAGAAATTGCACCTGCTAAGATTCAAATATAACAGAGATGCAAGAACTGTGCAAAGTAAAAAGGCCAAGTCAATATCATGTTTATTGTAGAAGACAAAGTAATCAAAAGAAGACGCAAGTAGAGTTTCTAAGGCCAATCAATCATTTTGAATATTTCCTCAGAATGACATGATGTATGTTGAAAGAAGGAAGACCATCAGGAGATTACAAAAACTAGTTTCTAAAATGAAAATGCACAAATTTCTGTCATCAGCAGGAAAATATTAAAATTGGAAAAGAAAAGCACAAAGATGATTTAAATGAAACATCAACTTTTAATGCAAAAGCAAAATTGCAGTCAGCAGCTCCTGATACAATCAGTTTAAGAGGAAAACGATTGCAATATGCATGCCAAGAATATATACCAGAAAGAGAATCCAGGCATGAAGCAGTAACCGGGCAGCCCTCCAAGTTCAAAATAGAAAGCTTTTGCAGGCCTGAAACAGATTTGAAAGTATAGAGAATTTCAAGGAATAGAAGTTTAATAATCAGTAACAACCAATTCCATAATTCCTATAACCTGACAATAAGTAGAAAATGGTCGAGTGTTAACTATTAAATTGAACAGACATATAATATACACAGGTCAACGACACCACCGCCAAAATTATGGTGAAGAACATTGAAAGTATAAAATGTTAGCACAAATACAGTTGTCATAGAACAAAATTTCAATGCATCACAGATTACATAAAAATAAACAAGATTAAATATAAAATAAATCAATGATTCCCAAAGTAATAATAGGAAGTATTTTTAAGAAAAAAGGAAAGACATTTATTCTGTATCATTCAACCTACATACTTAAAAGGTTTAAAAATTTTGACTTTTTTTTTGATAGAATAAGGCCTCATTAAAAACCCCCTTCATATCCTACATGTTACAAACATAACATGAAGGACATTGGAAGGAGGAAAAGAGCGCCTCTAACTTTTATTAATGAGAACAACAATACACCTCCACAACTCAACAACTAACAACTCCTTACATAACAAATTATCCATAGTTCTATAAACATAACACACCCTGATACTCCCTTAATAAAAATAACCAAGGCATAACACCTTTAAGCATTACACAAACTTAAAAATCAACCTATACCAGCTTTAGCTAATTCATCCGCTTCCCAATTTGCTGCTCTCGAAATATGCCTCATGATAATACCCTTCCTCTCCACAATGGTAGCTATATCCCTTACCAAGGATTGAAACAAAGTAGTACTAAGGTTCGGATTATTAATCCACTTCAGAGCATTAGAAGAATCCGATTCCAAAATGAACCTCTGACTTGGAAAGTACTCACCTTCATCAATAAGAATCAACCCTCTATTTATCGCCAATAGTTCTGCGAGTAAAGGAGGACCTCCCCCTACCTTCTCTGAAAACGTCCCAAGCACCGAACCACTGCCATCCCTAATCAAGCCACCTATTCCACACTTATCCCAACCTTTAACCATTGCACCATCTACGTTAACTTTTAAGAACCCTTCCGGAGAAGGACTCCACTTAGAAGAAGGAAGAGACCTCTTTTTCATATTACCATGCTGATCCGCTAATTTTAAATCCCCCATCAAAGAATCAAAATGAATATGAACATCCTTAAATGAAGTTTCAAATCAAGAAACAATTATGAATCGTGTAATAAAGAACAATAGCGCAGAATCTACCTTCCCATTATTAAAATTCACCTCATTCCTACATTTCCAAACAGACCACAACATTGCTCTTGGAATAAACTTCCATATGTGAGATCTCGGAACTAGGTCATCCCATGCAATTAAGAAATCCATCAACTTACCAGGAATCACAAATAAAACATTCCATAACTTTAAAAATTTAGCCCACAAATCCCATACCACATCACAATGCAGAAATAAATGTGAGACCGACTCAATGCACTTCTTACACAATGGGCAGACAGTGTCTTCAACCCCTGTAACGCCTCTCTTCAGCAGTTCCTCTTTCACCGCAACTCTATGATGAGCAAGTTGCCAAACAAAAGGTTCCACTCGTGGTGGAGCTACTCCTTTCCAAACATACATTTCCCAATTACCTTCTAAATCATCATTACCCTCTCTATCAAAATAAATTTTCATGCATGATTTTGTAGTAAAATAGCCCTCTCCATTTCCCAACCAAATCTAACAATCTTCCTCTAATAGTTATAATGAAGAGCTATTCAACAGAGAGATAATTTGCAGCCACTGCTCAACCTCCCAATCCACCAAATTCCTTCTTGTTTGAATATCCCAAACCCAACCCGAATAGTTATACAATCTGAATTTTGCAACCTTACCCTCTTTGTTATTTGAAAGAGCAAATAACCTTGGAAACCTATCTTTCAGAGAAACCGAACCCAACCATACATCATGCCAAAACTGCACTGTTTCTCCATTTCCAGCTCTAACACACATTTTCTCTAAAACAGTCCCCAAAAGCATCACTTGAAAAGAAGTTCTTAACAACTCCTCTCCAAATCCAAGAAGTACGAGCTGTCCAAGTATTCCGGGTCATCATTGAATTAGGATCCATATTGTAAACACAACACACAACTGATTTCCACCAATATTTTTACTCTGCAGCAAATTTTCACACCCATTTCCCCATAAGAGCCCTATTTAATAGCAACAGATTCGGAATCCCTAAACCCCCCAACTTCTTTGGCTTACACACCAATTCCCATTTGATCCAATGAATGTTCTTTTTTTTCTGTTGATCCCCCCATAGAAACGATGCCATGATAGAGTTTAGTTTATTGAGTACCGTAATAGGGATCCGAAAGATAGAAAGGTAGTAAATTGGAAGAGATCACAACACCGATTTAACCAAGACTGCCCTTCCAGCTAGAGATAAAGACTTGGCCTTCCAACCAGCCAAACTATTATAGAATTTTTGTACCACCGTTTCCCAAAGGGAAAATGAATTCCTCTTGGCCCCCAACGGAAGGCCTAAGTACTCCGATGGAAAATCTCCCCTTACACACCCTATTTCCGTGGCCCATGAAGCTAACTCCTCCTCCCCCACATTAATTCCAAAAATTCTGCTCTTAGTCAGATTCAACTTCAGAACTACTAGCAGTTCATAAATTAAGAGCACCCTTCTAATATTCGCCAAATCATGAATAGAAGCCTTGCTAAAGATTATTAAGTCATCCGCAAATTGCAAATGAGATAACATGAAAGAGAGATCATTAGAACCTAATTCAAAACCCGAAAACAGCCCCTTATCCACTACTTTCACCAACATTAAATGTAGCAATTCCCCTCCCAAATTAAACAACAAAGGAGATAATGAGCAGCCCTGCCTTAAACCTCTAGTAGTGTGAATTTTCTCCGTAGGTGTGCCATTTACCAAAACTGAAATGGAAGCTGTTGAAACACACTTGTACATCCAAGAACTCCATCTAGCTCCAAACCCCATTTTAGTCATTATTTTCAGCAAGATCCTCCAATCAACTGAATCAAAGGCTCTTTTAAAATCCACCTTAAAAACAACTCCCTTCAATCCTTTTTTCTTCCAACAATCAATGCCTTCATTTGCTATAAACGAGCAACCCAAAATGTGTCTCCTCAGTATAAAAGCGAATTGCGATGGACTTATAACATCATTAATGCACAAGCTTAACCTTCTGGCTATAATTTTTGAAAGAATTATGTAGAAACCCCCAACTAGACTAATAGGCCAAGGTTTGTTGGCACGATGTATATTCTTAGTTGAATGATAACTTCAGCATAACATTCCACACCATGCAGTACAATAATAAAATCCTCTCACAGGCACAATAATCCAACAACAACAAACTAGCAGTCTTAGATGAAAAATTCTTTTTCATACTAATTCATGATAGCAACTTTTTTTTTCATGGAAATGATAGCAAGTGAGATAGAAAGAACTGGCAAGGTACCTTTTAAATAGGTTATGCCGAAATCTGTGACCTTACTGCAGGATATCTGTAAGCTTTTCAAGTTTGTAAGCCCTAAAACATGACGAGAAATCTTATGCATTAGCACAAAAAGGAAAAGCAAAAATAGAGGTGAAAGGCAATCAAAAGAGAGAAAATACTTTCAAAAAGTGTACAATTCTTTGAGTGCCTATTGAAAGTTGAAATGCAATGATCTTATCAAATAAAGATGTACCTTAATAGATATGTACAGGTCTGAACAGTTGGATCCTATTAAAAAGGTAATAGAGTTGGAATTGTTGGGAAACATATATAGCCAACTAGAGGTCAAGACTCAAGAGAACGGAAGAATTCTACTGCCAGAGATGGCATTTGAAAGGTATGCATATATTGAGCAATTTATAGGTCCTATAATAAGAATACAATCAAATTATTGGAAACATATGTATATTAACACACACGGTCACACGCACATAATTATTAGCCGACTGTCAGATAAGTTACACAAACTTCTTTCTGGGATGATAAAAGAAATATATATTAATAGAAAAAATATAGACATTATACAACTATATTCATGAGACAGACAAAGGGAAGGAGAGTTGAGTGAAAATAAATGTTCTGGAAAACTATGTTATTCAAACTCTTCATTTTTACAAAAGTTCTAGTGTTCAATCCTATGACTAACATATATTTGGATGCAAGTATTTGGTTGGGGGGTTGGGGGGGCTTTGAACATACCCATATCAGACAGAGTCCAGTAACATAGCATGAAAAAAAAACTACTAAATGGAAATGGCAACGAAATAATCACCTGAGAGTGTCTTCATATCAACATCTGTTATGGAATTACACCATTTAATATTAAGAGACTCTAACTTCGTCAAACCTGTGAATTTATAAATAGTGCTCATCAGCCAAATATTACACAATTGTTCAAGAATCCACATTCATCATGCAAATAGAAGCCACAGAAAATACATTTCATTATATGCTAAGTAGTTAAGGGCCAGAGACACCGCAAACTCATCCTTTTATACATTTCTTTGTTATTCAAACGTAGTAACTACTGTAGATAGAACTTTGAGAGCCCAACAACTAATCAAAACTAAGATCCTGCTCTGCCACCGTGCACCCCAGTACACAGAGAAAGTGGGGGAAGGGGTTAAGAATGCCCACAATGCTACCATTCCGAAATGTGTTCCTACAAAGAGCTTTTTGCCTTGGGCACAGTGCAAGAAAGGGCTGGAATGCAAAATCATGTTTAAGAATACCCGGGGGGGGGGGGGGAGAGAGAGAGACGAGGGAAATCATACAAGTCATAAGAATAAACTACCTCCAAAGGAAAAAATTACCTTTAATATGAACAAGCCCCCCATGAATCCCAGGACATTTTTCAAGGTCCAACTTCAACAAGTTCACTAGGCCAGAGAAGGCACTCATTCCTTGAGCAGTAATCGCACTGTTCCTTCGAAAGCTCAGACTGGTCAAATTTGAGAGACCTGAAAGATTTTGTGTTACATGTCCCATAGAAAAATACCATGAAATGTAAAATGTTTAAATGCTAATTAAAAGAAAGCAGTAAAGAGAACCCAGATAGGAAGGCGGAATGGAAACAGAGTACTTGAGAATGATAAATTTTAGTTTGGCAAAAAACCATATTCCAGATTCGCATAGTTATGTCTCACCACAGATTGCAATCAGTGCTAATTAATCATTTCACCTATAACAGAAATTTGGCATTTGACTAGACAAGAATAGTAAGGCATTAAAAGATTACCGCTGATGTGTTGTAGCCCATGGTTGGAAATCTGGTCACAATAATTTAAATTTAAAGCTTGAAGATGATCACAATCTTTGAGATATATCAAACCAGAATCAGTGACATCAGAACTTGAGAGGTCCAGTGCAAGCAAAGATGAGCCTTGTGAAGAGATCACATCCATCCAGTTGTCATTAACCCCAGGATAATCTCCCAGGTACAGGTCCTGTAGCAAAGAAGATACACTCAGTTCAACTAGACTGATAAAAAAATTAAGTAAATCATCGACAGATTTTGATATTTGACTTGCTAACTGGTTACCTGAAGAGCACAATCTCGAAAAGCTTCAAGAGAAACATCAGTCAGACATTGAGAAATTATTAGTTCATTAAAGATCAGCTGACTCAGATCTCTTGGAAGCATTGAGAATGAACCGTATTTGTTAACATCCTGCTCATGAACCAAGCTTAGAAGATCATTCAGACACAAGTAAGGATTTGCAAAAGAAGCAAGGTCTAAGCTAGCTATACCTCCCGTATTTTATAAGTGCATAATTCCATAAGTGATGGACCTTTTCCTTTTTCCCTTTGGATTTCCACAACTGGTCTAGAAAAAGTTGTCGCCAACCACTTTGAACTTCCACTTTTGCAATATCTTCCAGAAACCCCTCTATGTAAACCATCTTCATTTTCCAACTGGTCCCTTTTCCTAGAACAAGCTCCCCCCATTAAGGAAATACCTTGTGATGACCACCGATCTGTTCAATTACCGAAACTATTAACACACTTCACTTTGCCCTGTGAAAATGAAAGACAACAGTAGAATAAGCATTCAGTTGACACGATCATCAAAAATATGTTAATCGCTCACACCAATTCTTAGAGTGGATTGGATAAGGATAAAACATTCATTAGAAAGAAAAGAAAAACTTTTTCCTGAAACAGGTAAACTATTTGAGCCTCAAGCTGGATAAACACTATAACTTATTACATTGCTATCTACAAGGATATTAGCAAATGTACTCTCCTTTATAGTATTATTCTTTGGGTTTCATTTTAACTGCTTTTCTTTTACTAATCATTAAGGGATTAAGTTTTATTTATCCAACAATCATATTACAGTTCACGGATAATCCACAGAATAGATTTATTAGTATGAAAAGCTTTACGATCAAAGATAGTAAGGCATAGATATACCAACAGTTAGAGTAATGCAACAAAAGATTGTGTATATTTTATCATATTATTCCAGAGCACAATCATACTAAATATAATTAATACAAAGCAAATTGGTAAATATAAATAACCAAAAGTTGGATTTCATTTTAGATTGAAAAAAGAAAGAAAACAGAAGTGCCTAACATAAAGCCTCTATTAAATAGCTGACGAAGTATCAGTTTTTTTTTCTTTTCTTGAACAAAAGAAAGCTTGTGGTTTCAAACACAATTGCATGACTTTTATAACTAGACGGCACTACAATTAATCAGATGTTCTTCCAAATAAGGTAAATGTAAATTTTAAGCTTTCCTTTCAATTTTTAAAATACTTTTTATCCATACATGTTCTCACTGAAAATCAAGCTCTTTCAACTTGTTCTGTAAAAATTAAAATTTATTCCACTGTTTTGTTTGTCGTATTTTCTAATTAAAAAACTAAAACTCCAATCTGTTAGTCTAGACAACAAGTATTCAAAACACACACAGAATAAAAAAAGGAAAGAAACTCCCCCACTATTTTCAGTCCTCAAGCCAAAAGAAGCATGAGGCGAAATGCTATTATTATTAGAAAGAAGAATAGAGAAGTTAAATAAATTAATAAATATAAACAGGGGGATATGAACGTCAAATCATACTCCGATAATCAGAAAACATTTCCAGTTTCCTGCAACAAGGAAAAGTTCCGTTTTCTCTCGAAAATAACTGAAGAGGTCTCATAATAAAAATCTAACCAAAAAATGGGATAAAGCTAAAAAGAATCACAGTTTAAGCATCAATTTTCAAGGACGAAAAGCCTAAAAACCGTACAATTTCAGCCGATAACGATCATCTTCTCGTCAAAAAAACACAAACAAACAGAAACGAATGGCCAAAAACAATTCTACGAAAAAGAAAAAAAATATTCTCTGTCAGTAGCTTATCATGATGAAAGGCATGTCATAGTTTTCTACATATATAAAAGAATCAAAGAAAATAGGAATTTAATCAGTGGTGGAAAAAACTGAGAGAAAGAGAGACAATTGTGTAAAATGAAGAAAAAGGTAGAAAAGAGAGTAATTAGCAAATAGGAGCAACGTGGCTAGTACCCGAAGCAGATTTAAAACCAAACGATGGTTGACACGTGTATATAGGGTTTTGGTTCGGAATTAGGTACACTGAAATGATAGGGAAAAGATGGAAGGAGATAAAATTTTGGTGGGTCCCACTAGAGAAATAAGGTCCCACTTCCACTCCCACTTTTATTTTCATTTTTTTGTTATTAGTTTTGGTTGGGTTTATCTAAAATGATAAAGAGATCAAAGATTGTAGGCTTTGGATAAAATTTTGGGTAAATTACATTCAACGTCGCTTAATTATAGATTTGGCAATAAATCAGTCTTCTTTTTCTAAAAGTTATAAGTAGGTTACTCAATTAAAATATTGTTATAAACAAGTAACTCGGTTATTAAATATTAGGGAAACTATAATTTAAAGTTAATTATGAGTTTAGTAACAAATATGTTATTTGTTTCTATAAACTATGAATAAGATAATTAAAGTACTATTATAAAGAATTCACTCCATTATAAATATTAGATAAAATAGTGATGTGACTTGATATAATAATAATTTTAATCGCTAAAATTTATACATTTTTATCAATTTGATCTTAACCTAAATTAATCCTTCATATTTAAAAATAATAATCATTTTAGTCTTTATTTTCTTATCCTAAGTTACTTCTTCTCCCAAATTGTTATATTATTTTCTAATATAATAATAGTATAACAGTAACTTGTTACTGTTTGATAGCATAATACAGTTATCCAACTATTGCTTTGATTAAATATGCTAATTCGGCTTGATATTATTGTAGAAAAAAAAATGAATCGATAGAAGTTTAAAATATGATTATTGAATTGTTTTAAATATGGCAAAATCGATAGAATTTATAAGTTTTTAAGACTAACAATATTATTATATCATGCCACATTTGATGTTTATTCCATTTTTATGATTGATTCATAATAATATTTTAATTGGATGACTTGTTCAGCGTTCATAGCTTATAAGAAAAAATAACATATTTATTACTAAATTCATAATTAAGTGTATCTGGGTGTACTTACCCTTAGATGAATTGTGTTTTGACCTAATACAATAACAAATTTAGTCCTCAAAATTTATATATTTTATAATTTTTTATCTTAATCCAAAATAACTAAATAAATTTAATCCTTTTTGTATAAAATTTCTATTATTTTAGTCTTTCTTCACCTCCTAAATTTTCCGTTCTTCTCCCAAAAATGTCATTTCACTTTTACTCACACATAATACTATTCATCTATTTCAAAATCAAACGTTATAACTTCCTTTATCTAATAAATTATTCAACGAATTCTCAACCTTTTCTATTACTCTTTATCTTCTCTTGAACATTCAAATCCTTATCTCCTTCACTACATCATATTACATAATTAAAATATACACTGTATTCGAATCTGTTTCATATTTGGTTATCATACCTAACATTATCTTATAATTCCAATACATTTCCATCACATAATTTTTTTTAGCCATCACTAACTCTTTCCATCTATAATGCAAATCTCTTATCATATCCACACTCTTGCTTATACATAATATTATTTACACGTCTAATATTCCTTTTCACATATCACCTCTTCAATAAATCTTTCATGCTATCATAATCCTCACTTCATTACTTTAATTCTTTCATTACCATTTTCCCTTATGCTTTTACATTTCTTTCATATCATTTATATTTTTCCTTCTTTATCCTTTTCACTTTTCTATCCATCCTTAGTTTCCGCCAAACATACAAATCTTTTAACTTTAATACATTCTCTATCACATTACTTTATTATTCAACTAATTTCTTTCAATCAAAACATAAACCTTCATCAAACTATCCATATAAATATATTTTTTCCAGTCAAAAGAATTCATTTGCTATTTCCTTCACTCATCAAACCTTTATTCTCACTCGTCCATAATATAATTCATTTGGTTCGAATTCAACCATTCCATTTACCTTTGTCTTATAACTTATCACTGATATACATATTCTTAAACCCCTCCTTAATCTTTTAATATTCTCCACTTAACATCAATCTCTTCCACTTTATCTTGCTCATGCTATGAAGAAACTATTCTATTTCAGAACGATAAAGTTCCTTTAATACTATAATTTCCAATATGTCTAAACTGATTGGCTTTATTCTCTAGCGGAGAATACAACTAATTCATATCTGGTTTAAAGTTGAAAACCATAATCTCTATATTTCTTTGATGGTGCTTAACTTTATGAAGCACTAATTTTCTTAATCGTTTGAGATTTTTATTCTCCAATCCTTTCATTATGAGATTTCTCTAGAGCTTTAACGCGATTAACCATTTCTTGAAATGAGAACAATTTCAAAACCAATAACACTCTTTTAATTTAAGGCGCAAGCCCTAAACAATCAATTATCGGTATCCTTTTTATCCTTCTTAATCAGAATCAACTCGTCATTACATCTGCTTAACTTATTAAACTTATACTCATACACATGCATGTGTAATTCCCTTACTTCAAGCTCATATATTCGAACTTCATTTGTTTTATGAACTGATCATCCATGTACTTATTCTTGAACTCTTCTACAAACGATAACCACGTCACTTGATCTATTAACATTCTTATGGTGACATTTGTCCACCATACTTCTAGATTGCCCACGTAGTAACGAAACTACTCAATTTAACTTCTCCACTTTGGAGAAATAAAAACCTTCTAACATTATCTTCATATCATTTAATTAAAGGTCTGTAACAATAGAACCTTATTCAAATTCACCCTTAAAATCGGGCGCTCTTAACTCTTTTCGATACCTTCATTCTATGAATTATAGAAGTATAAAATTGAAAACACATTATAATATCATTCAACATCATAAAACATTCTCTAATCTTGTACAAGCACTCCCTGAGGTTTTCTCTATTCTCTCTGCCTGGCCAGGGCAGGTGAATGCTATTACCTTCAGTCTATTGCCTTGTGCTTCACTTTGAAAACTCTTATAATCATACATATAACTCTATTATCAAGACAATATACTCCTTACACTATCAGATCATAAAATTTTTCACTTTGTGTTGGCATGTATATTTTTTAAAACACTTTTGACTTCGTTTTTAGCCTAGAATCGGTTAAACCGTAGCTCTGATACCATTAAATGTAACACTCAACCCTTATCCGACCCGAATACGAGTCCGAGATGTCATATTGACTTTTAAAAACAATATTCTTACAAAATATCCAAATATTTGAACTTTTTTTAAGAAAATATGATAATATATTGTTGAATCATATTTGTTATAACCAGTTTAAGAAAATACACGTTTTATGAACAGTAAAATAAGGTATGAATAGTGAACAATACCGTATAAACAGTGATGAACAGTAAAAATTCGAATATAAATTATGTATCGATGCACTGCTACAGTAACTTCGTAAAAATACGAATAAATTCATAAAAATATAATCTTTTACCATTATGCAGTTATATTTACATAAATACGTTAAAAACATTATAAAACTCAATTAGAGCATAAATACTTAATTTATCGACTTTGTATACATGTCAACCATTATCATCCTTACAAAATACATAATATACATTTCTTTTATGATATGATCTTTGGAAATGAGAACTGGTATGTCTTGCACAACTCTTATCAATATTCCTCTTCTCAGAACCTAAACGTGAAACAATCACACGCTAAGTCATAGACTTAGTGAGACATATAAAACATATAATAAAAATCATAAAACATTTCATATATCAAAATGCATACATGCACATATACCCTCATTATCATGATTTCTATCATTATCATATAACACATTTAATATCATATAATTCATGTAACATATTTCATATCACCAAAACATATACATCATATGTATTGTATTAGTTATCGTCTCTTTATTAGCCCATGTACATTTTTGAGAACTTAAGGTATTCGAGTACATTGAGGTTGTGCACAAATACTGTCACCACAACTCGTATAAATTCCCACTAGGGGCACTGAATATTTGTCCCGAATGACCGCGTAGAAATGTCCCGAAGGGCCATCATTTGTCCCGAAAGACCACTCCTTAAGAACCATATACATAATACAATGGACCAAATAAGTGTACCGAAGTACCACATTCATGTTCCACGAAATTACATATATGTTCCGAAGGACCACATAGAATTATCCCGAATGACCGCGTATACCCTCGACTCTTGGCATGCCAACTATACCTCTAGATCTCATGACACATAACATGTGCATTATCTTTTATAATTATCACATATTCACATCATCACATAGTTTAGTTACACGTAGAACATTTTCATATGAATCATATTCACATGTCACATAGCTTATACCTTGTTCTTATGTCTTCTCATAGCCATATATTCTTTCTCACATAATCACATAGGTTCATATCATATAACATGTATCATGTGCTGCATATTTATATGCCACATATTTCATATTACTTTGCATAGAATCACATAACTTGTTTCATATAACTTATAGAATTTTTCCTTTGTTTATATACATATGTCATATATTGTTCACATATATTCATATATACCTTACATAACACATAAGATAACATAGCATGCATATCACATAGTTGATATCATATTTTTCATATATTCATGTACACATAAAGATCACATACATTTTAGAAATTAATCTTTACCATAATAACTTTTGTCATTGGCTTATCGCAAGCCAATGTTTGATCAATAACTTAAGTACAATTAAATTGCACTCACCTTAGCCTTGCTTTGATTTGATCATAATTCTTTGATTGTTCCAGAATTTGTTTAAGCTTAATATCTACATAAACATAATTTCAAGACGATTTTTCAGAAGCCTAAACCTTATAACTTGGTATTAATAACTTAGGCTAATTTAA